GGACATTGAAGTATCAACCATCACAACTAGATTGCTGCGTCATTAACTCTTATTTCAAGTTCCTAACGTTTTGTACGTCAAACCTAATTTAGGACGACTTAGTGAAATACAAGCCTCCACTGTGAAAACTACTCTACAACAGGTGCTTATTCGATAGGGTCATTTATTATAAATTGAGCGTTTAGGGCATCATTCTCAGCCAGACTTACAGGTGTATGTGATCACCAATGATACTGAATAAATCACGAATATCCACTACCGGCTGAGGTCAACTCAGGTAATCCAGTACCTAGTCTGATGTAAAATTGAGTTTAAATTCTGGAATAATAGAAGAGTTTCTTGTGTTATAAGCCTAATTGCAGAAGAACCGAAAAGAAGATAGGTTTTAGGATAAGTAGACATCTAGGTGAGAATTCGATATGAGGAGGAAAATAACTCCTCAGACATTTGTTAAAGCAAATAAAAGTAAAAGCATATAAAAGGACATAGCCGTAGTCATGGAGAAGTCATGGGAAAAGGAAATTGGATTTCTATTAGTGAGGGCAAAGAAAAATTGTATAAGAACAAAGTATATTAAGACTAGAGTAGACAAGACAGTAGAAGAATAAGTCTTAATTATAGAAGGACAGAAAGGAAGCTGTTAATTCTATAATAAGGAAATGCCACAAAGGATCTCAAAAGCCGTACAAATTAAATATGGCGATTGCCCAGTCGGAGCAAAATTTAATTCTTATAAACATGAAGATAGTCGAATTTGCTCATCCAGCAGACAACTTAGTGAAATGGAAAAGAAGGAAAAAACTCAAATATTTTAGAATATGTAGATGATGCTTATACTCTATATTATTAGAAAGGCTTGTAATAAGCTCGAAGAACTATACAAAAGGAATCGAAGAATTTTGAATTCCCGGGCAAATAGAAAACCATTCGCTTCAAACCATTTTTAGTTCATGGTCCACTTTTAATCCAGAATTTTTCTATAGCCCATGAAATTATTATAGTGTAAAAAATACTTCCATTTTACATAGAATATATCCATCATAGAGAAAACTATGTATATTTATTGGACACACACAATTTCACAAGCATTTAAAATATTTCGTATCTCCAGTGAAATGACCATTTGTTTTCAATATTTATTTTTTACAATTTTCCTATATATAGCACAAAACAAAAACAAAAAAACTTTCACAAGCAAAAAGGAATTAAAACTTAAAGAAACAATTCTTTAACTTCAAAATGTAAAACCAATTTCAAAATAAAAATAACTATAATGAAGAAAATTGCTTTCAAACACAATGAAATTCTTGATGCATCTTTGCAAGTTTTTCTATACTACTTAAGCGCTTACTCTCATTAGAAAGTTCTGTAATACATAAGAGACACATTGATTTTGTTATTTTGTTTGGAAACTCTATAAAACTGTCTGCTAAAAACTCGTTTGCGTATTGTCAACATGGTTTCTTCTTATCAGCCATGAGTTAATCTGTCAGGAAAAATAAATAAATTGATAACTACCTAATTTCAGAATACATATATATTGTTTTTATAACATAATTAAAATACCAATTAATAAGCTATAAGAATTTATGGATATATCCACAATATTAGAGTGAAAGAGTTCTAGCTGTAATGAGCAAGATTTTCCCAAAAATTAATTGGTGTCATTTTCTACAATCATAAAAAAACGGAATTTTCAACGCCCGACATTAAAAGTTATTCAAACTAAGTAATTAGTAAACGTTCACAATTTAAATATATTAAAAGCATTTTCATACATTTAATTTCATTAATTAATTTAAGAACTAGTAGTCAAGAAAACCTCCATGGACCATTCAATAAGCCGATATATTAGCTCGGTGGCTCAGTAAAAATTATAACATTTCTGAAATTTGCCATTGCCCATTTTGGCTATGTGACCATAGATTGGAAAAAACTAGTCTAGCCAACTATATGACTAAAGACAGCTTGACATTGTGGAAAAAAGCTGTGGTTGTGAAAAGACAAGTAGTCATTTGATCTTCAGGGAAAGTCAACAGTTCGTAATTGTATAAATATCTACCACTAATATTACTGTTACTACTACTACTACTACTAATAATAATAATATAAATAATAACGATAATGATAATGGAACATGTGTCTGTAATTCAACTTTTAGCAGGCTGGGGTCGAATTCTGACCATGTTCCTTACGTTTGTTTTTGCACAAATAATCATGAGAAAGCTATGAAACCATCTCTCCTTCTCATAGCTATGGACCAATAGTAAGATGGACTGAGCTCCCTAGCCTTGGTTAGCAACCAGTCTACAGATGTTGAGTCGATAAATGTACTCACTTCCCAGAAGCTCGGGCCACACCTGGGAATGTGTAGATCTGTAAAAAAACGCCCCAATTCATGTGAGTTGCACACACTACCGCAGGCGGAGATAAATTTACTTTTTTAAAAAATCATAGTGGAATAATAATGATGGAATACTGCAAAGTTGACATGACTAGGTGGATATGACTGTCTACTTAGAATTGTGCAAACGACAATGTATTAAATTTATGTATGTTATACAAACCAATATGTGCAAACCAGGATCTGTTTTAGACAAAAACAAAACGACTCCTCTTAGGGTTTTCATATTCAAACGCATCATTGAACCCATGACGGAATACAAGTGATAAAATGGACGTCACTATCGAAGAAAAACAGAGAATAGAATAAAAATTAAATAAAAAGAAAACCTCAGTCAACTGAGAGAAATTGTAGAATCTAAACAACGGCAGTTGTGCCGATCGTTGTTGAAGCACCTAGAGCCGTGTCAATGAAACTTGCAAAAATGGTCGACGAACTGTAAATGCGAGAAGAGTTGGAACCATCCAGAAGACAGTATTATTGAAAACAGTTACAATACTAAGGAATGTGCTGGAATATGGCGAGGAGTCGCTGTGACTGAATAATAATAATAATAATAATAATAATAATAATAATAATAATAATATCATCCGATCAAAGTGTATGCGAACTTAAGGTAGAGCATACGTAAGAGCCAAGGTAAAATAATAGAGTCTGTAGTTCTTTGCTCGCAGATTGAATTTTCTTTTATGTTATTTCTTTCTTTTATTTTTGTCTTGGAGAATTTTTCTTTCGTCGTGTTGGTATCTGAAAGGGGTGGGGAATGTCGAAACGTGCAAAACGACAGGAAAGCACTTTTCAATAGATTGAAAAAGAAATCCTATTTCATTCCAAGAATTTGTTCCAACAATCGTCAACTGCAACCAAAAACAGCAGGGTCATAAGAAACAAACACATCTTAGAAATAAACAAATATTACAAATGAAAACCATCAGAAATATTAGAAACGAACAAATATTTAAAAAAAAATAAAGAGAACATATACAAATTATTTAAACGGCAAAACCATAAAAAAATAAAGATATAAAAATAGAGTAAATAAGAAAATTGCAAAAATCGAAATTGAAATTAAAAATGCTTTGCGTTTTTTGAGATCGACAAAAGAAAAAAAGCGACAATGAAACTAGAAAGGATGAACAATATTTAGAAAAATAAGTATTAAAAAAGTCAGTGGAAATTGCTATGCAAAATAATCCTTATATCGAATAAAGTAAAACAATTAAATAAAAAATTGTTTTTAATGTCTAAATTAAATTTTCGTGAAATATTCCGAAAATTTAATTTTAAATATAATAAAATCAGACAAAAATGAAAATCTAACAATTAATAAATAATACATTATTGAAAAATTATTAATACGTTTAAGTTTGTTTTTTTCTTTTGAAATAATGAATCAGGATAAATAAATGAAGAAATGAAACCTAACTTGAACTACAATATCTCTCTCTCTATATATATATATATATATATATATATATATATATATATATAACAGCATAAAACCTGCAACATTCAAGCCAATAAAAAAATAAATTACTTAGGTTACTCTGCCCGTAAAATATGAAATTAAAATAACGACAAAATATAATAAAGAAGCGACCCTTACAAATCCCAACTCACCAGAGTCATTCTTTTAGAGTCATTTACTTTGACATTAGACCATTGTCATATTTACACATTTCCAATTAAAATTCCTTGAAAACTTTGATTAGCTCTCGCTTATACAATTAGAGAGCAGTACACAGGCCTCGGAGTCAGTCGCCTCCTACCAACGTTTATTTTTATTTTATTTAATTTAATTAATTTATTTATTTTAGATTCCATCTCCGCCTTTGACTGCTTTTTGTCAACAACCAACTCTTTTCTCTTTTGAAAGATCTTTTTGTTATCATCACGTTGTCTTTCGGCACTGCAAAGTCCGCCCCTCACCCCAGTGGAATCAACATTTGCATCCACCCGGAAAATATTATGATTGCTACCGTCATGTTTCCGTAATAATTTCAAGACAGGAGAAAAAGAGTAGAGCTGTTTTATTTTTTTTGATCTCACTCTTTGGAAAGGCATTTGGATTTTTTTTTCAAAAACGCAAGGGTTTTTTGTTGTCTTTTTAACTTATTTTTGTTTATATTTTCCTTCGTAATGTAATTGTTATTAAAGTTATTGCTGTTTTTGTTTCTGTTGATACTTTACGCTGATTGTTTGTGGAAAAAGGCCAACTTCATGCGCATGAATACTTTTTGGGTTGCTTTCATTGTTTGAAAAAGAAAGGTGAAAAAAAATCGAAAATCGAGTGAAAAGGACAGAAACGTTGTGTGTCAGGAAGAAATTTTGAATGGAATTGTAAAAGAAATAAAAAAAAGTTAAAAGAGGGTATGTGAAAACGAATAAATTAAAAAAGAAAGAAAGAAGGAAGGAATGATTATAATCTGAAAGATATTAATCGTGCAAAATATATATCAGAAGAAAAACGAAAATTAAAAAATGACGAAGAAATAGAAAAAAAGTAAGTAAAAGAAATAAGAAAGAAAGAAGGAAAGCAAAGTGAAAAAGAGATGAAAACATTAATGACGAGAAAAAACTGGAGAATCGATAAAGATTAGAAAAGGAAGAATGAGTAAAGAAAAATAAAATGGGAAGAAAGAAGAAGAAAGATAAAAGGAGAAAGTAAAAATGAAATGAGGATTATGGAAGATATGAGAGGAAAAACTAAGAATTAAAAATAGAAAGGAAAAATTAAAGACAGAAGTTAAAAAAGTAATAAAATGTGAAAAAAAAGTAAAAATGAAAAAAACGTGATTTTTGAAAATGAAGAAAATAAGGAAAATGGAGGCAAAATGAAAGGATAAAAAAAGAAAGCAAAGAAGAGTGAAAAGAATCTCGAGGAATTATGGCGTCAAAATTTCAAAAGAAAAGAGAAACTGGAACTGAGTGAAAGACAAGAATAGAAATGGAATCAAAATCAATGGAAACTTTAAGAAAAACTGAAACAAAGTAAAAAAACAAATCTAAAAATAAAGGAAACTTAAGAAGTGAAAGAAAAAAATTGGAAATGAAGATCAAATTAAAACTGACAAAGTGAAAAAAAAGAAAGAAAGAAGAAGAAAGAAAGAAAGAAAATAAACAAAACAGATAATGAAGTAATAATTCTAAGAATGCATTAAAAGAAAGAATGGATAAACGAATGAAAGAAAATGAAAGAGCAAAAGAAGCAATAAAGAAAAAATAACTGAATAATGCATTCATTAATATATCGGTGAAATAAATAAATAAATAAATAAATAAAGAAAGAAAAAAGAAAGAAAGAAAATGAAAGAACGAGCAGTAAAAGAAATAAGTAAGTAATAAGTGTAAGGACGCATTCATTAATAAATAAAAAGAAAGAATGAATGAACGAAAGAAAGAAAAATGAAAGAGGAAAACAAGAAATAACAAAGAAATAACAGACAAAATGTATTCGTTAATATGCTGGTGGATGAAAGTGTGCAGAAGTAAAAAATTGAAAAACTTGAAACGGAAATAACTCAAGAGTACACAGATACACAAATTTAAAAACATCAGCTAATATTGTTAGTCCTATAGTAAGACGAAGAATGAAATATCACGACTCAGTAATCTCCCTTGTATGAAATGTAAGCCAACCAAATCAATCTCAATAGACGAAGAATTTGTACATGGTTTACTCACAAGAATCATCTGATAATAACAGTCCATGATTGCCTGTTTGGGAAGTTTGGTTCAAATCATCATTTTTTTTTTATACAGTTTTTTTTTTTTAATTATTTACGCCGTAATTCTTCCAAAAAACTTTTCAATCTTTTCCTTTACTTTTAATTTTAATATCTTCTTTACAATCTCAAATTAAGAAAAAAAAAAATTAAAAGAAAGAACTACAACTCCCCCGTCACTGGTATATCCGTTAATATTGAATGTTATAGATTAGGGGCGTCTTTCATTCTATTCAATGTTTAGATTAGGATTTGATTAGCAATGAATACCCGAGAAATTGGCGTAGAAATCTATTAATAAAATTTTTATCCCCGTTCTGTATTCTTCCTGCTCAGACATTTCGAAAAGAAAAATAATGAAGGATAAAAACGCTCTACCCCAGCATTGAGTTGTCCCGACCCCTGCCAAGCAGCGTTTTTTTTTTTTTTTTTTTATCTGTAAACTCAATGCATGGAGATCTACTATAGAGTCCCACAGCATAATAATAATAATAATAATAATAATAATAATAATAATAATAATACATGCGGTATTGGAGGATAGATGGGTTAGTCTGAGATACACAATGTTTATGATCTGAATCTTTTGTTTTTGTTATTATTTTTTCACTCGAAATTCTCGTCGATTACGTCACCTGCTCAGGTGACTTTTCATAATTTCCGGTGCAAAAATAAACAGTCAAAATAAATAAATACAGAATAATATTTGCAAATTTCTGTTTATGATGCCAGTCAGATTTTAATTCATGCAATTTGTCTTTTCTCAGCTCGATTACGTCGTTTCATTTCCGCAACTTTTATGTATTTAAGGTCATCCATATAGAACTATTTTCAAACAAAGGAAATAACGCTTTTTGATTTATTTCTGAAATTCTTCAATCACACACACACATATGATAAAAACGTAATTTTAGAGAATGCTATATTTGTGGGTAAAAGTGCTCAGTATCGGAGATAGAGCGTATGTAAATATGAAATATAAAAGCCTATACTGAGGCCAACACCAAGCGGTGACAACTGGCCTGAAGATTGCGTTCGAGCATGAAACAGACTGTCACCATTTACTGTTAACCTCAGTGGTCATATATATATATATATATATATATATATATATATATATATATATATATATATATATATATATATATTCCTGTTTTCTTGCGTCAGCGGGTGAGCCAAAAATTAGGATGGGAAATTTAGCGTCTTTTTTCGAAAGTTCTTGAAAAAAATCATATAATTGGCCAACTTTAATGAAATTTTCAGGACTTATTCATAGATTAGTGAAGTTATTTAATTTTTTTTTTTTTTGAAAACTTGCGGAAATATATATTTTTTACATATGTTATTCTAACTTAATTTTATAAAACTTCAAGAAATTAAAATTCCACCTTCTTAATATTTATATTACTAAAAAGCAGGACTCATTGGAGAATTTAAATCATCAATTTGTTTTTGCCAAAGAGAAACACCATTTAGCGAAAATCTGTTATGAATCGTAAAAAATGCAATAAACTATAACATTAATGAATTAGAAATTCTTTTAATTGATTTTATAAATAAGATATATTAAGGGCACTATTGTCTAAAGAAAAAAGTATTTCAATGAATAATTAAATTTACAAGAATTGTTTTCATTTTTAAAAATTTTAATTAGAATAATTTATTAAATTTTAAATCTTTTAAAATTCTGTATTTGTTTCACAGTTTTAAATAATATTGTTATTAAGTTAAAACTTATTTACTAATAATAAATGAAAAAGGGCACTCAAGGTTATATATATATATATATATATATATATATATATATTATTATTAATATAACTGACAATGAATGTCAATTATGACTGATCATTAGCCGCTTTAATTTCGGGTGGAAATAAAGACAAAAATGTTTTTATTAAGCTGTTCCTTTATCTAAGCTTTCGGCTCACATGAGCCATCGTCAGAATGGTGATGTGGTCATTTAAAAAAAGACATTCACCATCAAGGATGATATTCTGTTATGTTAAGTTAGACGATTGCTATGCGAAGTTAAAGGTCGTGGAATAGCAGACGCAGTTCGTAAGTTCATAATGCGGTTCTATGACGTCATACCACGTCAGAGACTGAAATATTAACAACAGATCCCTCTGTATAGATACAATGTAATATGTTGTGACTCGTTTGAAATGTAAATTTGTTGTTGCTTTGTTTTATATATATACGTGTGTGTGTATGTGTGTGTGAGCGAATTTTTTTTAGAATTAAATCAAAATAAGTAAAAACATGAAAATCTGAAAATTTGCCTTTCTTAAAGCCAAATTTATTAGGATAGAAATTTTACAGAGAAACGTCATTTATTATATGATCCTTCATATGAATGTTTAAAGGAGTAGAAGAGGAAATCATAAAATATCTTTGAGCTTAATGAAAGAAAACTTCTAACACTTCCCCTTTTTCGTTGGCTTTTCTAAGAAGAGAGATTCTCTGAGTTTTCACCGGCTCTTGCTTTCCATTTACAATATTTTTTTTTTGTACTATACCCATCAATAAATGCGCCATTTTGTTATGACATTGGTAAAATGGTAGCTACGATACCCCTGTCGTATCCTTCCTAAATTTCTTTGTTTTCCTAAGAACAAAATGTAAATAAAATATTAATATTAAAACGGAAATTATAGTCGAAATATTATGTAAATTTTATTAAATATTTTATAAAATTTAATTATTTACATTGCTAATATAGTAGAATTGTTTCGCTCTGAATTAAATTGAACCCACTTATATACTCTACGTAATATATGTAAATATATGTACGTGTTTTAAGCCTTTTAAAATCATATGCAACTTCAATTGTATCCACAAAGCAGACTGAAATAGGCGATATTTTTGTAATTACTACTGAACAACCATAGTCAAGTAAACTGTGAGGCCTATCTAAAATTATAATGATGCCTGTATACCTTATACATGGTTGGAAGCAAATTCTGGCAATTTCATAGATTTGTTGATGATTTCCAAAAGAATTATAACATTGGATATTCTCCTATGTCCATTACAGTAACTTAGAATTTTACTTGCGAGAAAAATCTACAATAAATCTATGACCAGTGCATTGATTATGGCATGATACCCGATAATTGTTCTATGACCCTAGTATATGTAGTAAGACTGGTTTATCACACACACATAAATATATATACAGGCTGCGAGTGGTAAATTGTCAACGTTTTATATTTTTTATTTCACGCATGCGCCTTTTTGATTTTGAGTTTGTCGACTGTATAGTAGGGTCAGTTGGTCATAGTGTGTGAGAAAAAAAGCACCATGACGCAATACACTCCGCCAGAAGTGTGGAAACGGCATGCTGTACTATTTGGCATTCGCACCGGAAGCTACATTTCAGTGTGTTTGGATGTCAATCTGAGGACAGTGCAGAAGATTTGGAAAGAGTTTGACGAGTCTAATGGTGATTACTAGCTCGCAAATCTCTGATCATTCTGATAAGAAAAGAACTCCCGAATTTGTTGGTAAGGCACTCAGACTCAACACGGAGCCCTACATCAAGTACCTTGAGGAGGTCGTGCTGTCCTGCATCAAGATGGTTGCTGTTGGTAAACCTTATGTTTGACAAAAGGACACTGCAACATACTATACATGCAGGAGAACCCAATCTTAACTGTCAGACAATTTCTGCGACTACATCATTCCTTATATCTGGCCACGTAACTCGCCAGAGTGCAACCCCTTTGATTATTATGTGTGAGGCGGAGTTGTGCAAGAGCCCAACAAAACTTCTTGTAACATCTAAGAAGAACTGAAGACAAAGATTATGGTAGCATTCAACAATTTAGAGGGATTAGATTCATTCCCTTTGATGTTAAGACTTCGTTGTCCTTCTGAAACCCAACATAAATTTAATCATAACCCTAATTCTTTGATGGCGTTATATTACAAATCATCTGACAAGTGTTCTGAGTCTATCTTAATACAAACCTTTCATTTATTTTGCCATTCATGCTCATATTTAAACAGGATCTACATTTCCACAATGCATGCGCAATAAAATAAACTAAAAACCAAATGTTTATTCCATTCTTATTGAACTTGAAAAAGGTTCTAATTTGATCAATTTCATTGATCAACTTGGAACAATTTTCAAGTTCTTCATGTCGCTATAGAGATGACTATCAGTATTTTTTAAGCATTTCTTAGACTTGAAATTTTTATTCGAAATAAACTCAAAACAAATTGTTATTTTAATTTTTGGATGTAATTTCAAAGCCAGTTTTATGTAGCATACGTCAAGTGAAGGTGATACATTATAACAATGGGTTGCAAAGTACAATTCCTTACAACTGATTTACGGAATTGGCACGTGATTAACTTACTGATGGATCAAGTAAATGTAACCGTTCAAAAACGGGAAATTGAAAATAAAAGGTATCGTCCCTAAAAAAGGAAATATTTTAAAATATTTATTTGGGGTAAGGCATTTAAAACATACGCATTTCTTAAAAAAGCATTGCCATTTTAATTGTCCAATGTCTAGATATCCACTTATTTTAATCTGGTTTCTTGTTAACAAATAACAACACAATATACAAATAATAATAATAATAATGATAATAATAATGAACCAACAAGTTCAAAATGAAGTTTCAAGTGGGTGAAGAAATGCAAGTAAAGTATAAAAACTGAAGCTGCAAAAAAACTTAAAAATATAAAGTAAATGTGGATACAGAAACGATGGCAAAATAAACTGCTTCACGGTCAATACTTTGTCCGTACCAAACAATCGCCGTACACATGAGTGGCTACGTAGTGCAGGGTTAAAAGCTGAAACCGAAG